TTTCGCTTAGTTTTCAAATGGAGAGAACAGAACAGATCAGTCTGACCCAGGAGACACAGCTGTAGTCTCAAAGTGACTATTATTGTTAGAAAATTATTCCACATAGGAGATTTAGAAAGATAAGTTCTCTTTCCACAGAATAGGCATAATTGAATGTTTACTTCTTTACTTGAGTTCTTGAGGAGTGGCTTTCTTAGTATGCATAGTCTGAAAGCCAAGTCCTCATTTTAGGATGTAATTTAAACTGAATTGCACACAGGAGCTTGAATGCATCAATTTAACAGAGTTATAAGAGAACAATATGACAGTTTTGAATTTTGCTTTCAATGAGGAGAGGAGATCAGAGGAAACTCTGATAAGCTTTTTGGCCTCAGTTGCTTAACACCCCAGCCATCTGACTTTGCACTTTCAGAAGCTCCTCTCTATTAGACTGATGCCTTAGTATTACTTTTTTTCATGTAAAACCTTTGACTCCCAACAATACAGGAGTTATGAAGTAGAAAATAATTTAAAATGGCTTATTTTTAAAATGAGTAAACATGGTTTGCCTCATTGCTGTGGCACTCATGTAGAATGCACATTCCTAGTTTCTAGCAATAAGTAAATATTTATTTTGCAGAAGCTGTTTTTCAAAGCCTTGTTCATAAGCTGTCCATTAATCACATAGAGCTCGAATGTGGGCATAGGTATTTGTTGCCAGAATTTCTGATGTTTTGTGTCAAGTCACATGTCCATTATATCTATAATTTACTTTCTATGCAGTTTAAAGCTCTGATTTGTTTTGTAAAACACAATGTGTAGTCTATGTGTCCTTGAGAATCTGTTCACCCCTCTTCCCACCATTTTAGTTCCAGGATTTTCTCCATTAACAGTCATAGTTTGGACTGAAAGAAGGAGATCAAATTCAGGTCTTTGCTTCTGGAACTCATCCCAGATTTCAGCTACTTACACTTTGGGTATAATAATTTTTGTGCATTTTACGAAGAACACCTTGTATGCAGACTGTTGTGTGCTCCTGACTTTGCCTCAATCCAAGATCAAAATTTAATTTCTTTCATTTTGCAGTAACTGCTGAGTATAACAATTTGAAGACCCAATTTAGGCTCTATTGAAAGAAAGATTTCTGTATTGGCAGTTTTAGAGAAGTAGCGAAGACTCTTAAATAAAAGTCAGTATAGATATTAAAATAAGTGTGACTGGAATGTAAACCAAGAGGGCTTTGTCAACCTGTTCCTAATACTACGTTGCAAAATATGTCTTAAAATTGTCGTACAGGGCAGAATGTCTTGCCTCACACTCCTTGAGAAGGTGTTTCTGTCTGTGGGTGTTTCTGAGGATTCTGGGTAATATAATCCATAAATTCTGGCAGGTCATTATATATGCCTCAGTGAATAATAATTAGAAAGATTCCCATCCTAAATGATCAAATTTAACTTGCATTTAACATTTCTTTTTGGAGAACAGCTGAATTGGTCTACATTTACATGTAAACTGGTTCACCTAGGCTCGAAGCTTAAGACCAGGACAAATAGATATGACTTACCAAGGAAGGTAAGGACTCTTGAACTCCTCTGTGAGACATGGCTGTGATGATGCAACGCTTCTGAGGTCAGATTTGGTCTGTCTTAGCCCCTACTGTGGGAAACCACTCAGACAATTTATTCTTTCTTGTTCCATCTTTGGCTACCTAACAAGAAAAGCTTCCAGCCATTTTCTTCAGGTGGGTAGTCAGATTTTTCACGTGTGGCAGCAGGAGCCTGAAAATGTACAAACCTTTGAGGGCCAGTTGGGGAAAGCTCGTATGTAAGGAGGACTTTATCTGTTGGACTGTGTTATTTCAAGCAGTCGTTCTATGATTGCCCCACCAGGTTCCTGGAATCTGCTGCTTTGGCCAGGTCTCATCAGAACATCAACCTAGTTTTGCCACATTTAAAGCTATTCTGTGTTCATTCCTTCTATCATGTTGACTCACATTCACTTGACTTCTTTGCATAATACTTGCCAAAATTCAGTGCATTTAAACATATATTTGTGCTGGGAAAAGCTTTGGGTTGCTCTCTCACTCAGCAGGATGATTACCTGCATGTTTAATTTCTAAGCCACCTGGTCATTTCCAGTCAGGAATATGTTTAGAAGCATGCTTTAGTCTTGTTGAGCCCCCCAAGCATTCTTCAGATGCTTTAAGTCAATGTTACATTAACTTGGAGCTTTACAAATAGCATGTTGGAGAAGAGGTCAGAGGCAAAATAACTGAAGATTCACAGTGCAGTGGAGATGTGCTAATGCTGATTTGAGGAGGAATTTTAATAATCTGAATTTTCCTTTTTCTTTTTTTTCCCTCCCTCTTTCTGGGTAGTGAGAATCTTCACTGACACAGCTTTCACTGTGGACACTTGAGAAGTTTGTGGTCTGAGGGCTGATAATTGTACAAGGATCATCCAAAAGACAAGTTTGGTGACTAGGTGTTTATTCATAGCTCAGATGACAATGCTCAGAGCTGCTTGCAGATAGAATTTTTTTGTCTGATACAAACTGCAAAGACTTGTGATGTATGCCAGTCCTTCTTAAAAAAAAAAAAAGAAATTGCCAATATAAAATCAAAACATTCATTACAGAATTAAAGTACATAACAAATCAATTAGGTATATATTGTGAGGGGAAAAAAGCATTACAATGAAAACCATTCTTATATCAAAGTATTAAAAAAGCACAAGTCTTAAGTGTAAAGCTCTGCTAATCAGAATATTGTTCTGCTTATATTCTGTCACATTCTTTTTTTTCCCTGTCTGATCTACCAGTAATAATATGGTATGATTACCAGTAATTACCAGTAATGTGGGGAAGGAGGAGCATCGCCCCCATCATGTATACTTAAATGAGCATCAGTGAATTAATTAACACTGATGCTTAATCTGGCATCTTTAGGTTTCAGGTTTAATGCCTCTGTTGAAATTAAGCAGTGACCATTCAGAACCCTCGTGGATATTGCTACAGGTGCTCTACTTTACCTCTGGAGAAGGGGATGGATTGTGTTAATCAGCCTACAGAAATACCCATATTATGTGAAAGTCTGGCACTTCTGAAATGAATAGTTTTGTCACTGAGGCAGGAGCCGATGATCTAGGAAAGGCAAGCTGGAAATTTGGGAAACAACAAGATTGCAATGAATTATCTTCCCTTTTTCATAGCCATAAAAATGTAATTACTGTAATATACAGGTGTATGGAGAGAAATAGTACTTTCAGCATGGAAAAGAAACAGTTTATGGTTTATGCTTAAAGTCAAAACTCAAAATCCTGCCCAAACACAAATTTCAATACATTCTCTGGTGTCACTGTTTATTCTCTAAAAATAACTCAATCAGCAGTAGCAAGCTTTGCAGTTCTTCATGTAATAGCTCAAAGTCTATTGGTTGATATAAGCATATTGTTTTGAGCAGCTCTGCCATGAGGTACCTTTTGGGTTCACACCTGGTCCTCTGTTTCTTAGGACTTCCACAATTCAGTTGACAAAGTGTCTGCTTTCAAAGGTCAGAAAGTGCAAAATCTTGCTTTATGAGCACACAAGAAGGGACAAGGCAAAATACCTAGACTCCTCTGTGAAGTACTCTTACAAAGTTAACTAAATTCCTGTGGCATTGCAATACTGCTGAGGCTGCAGGTGAGACTCAGAGAGGTTCTGCTGAGGACCTATTTTTCCAGAAAAATAGGCAGGTTCAAGTGAATTAATAGAATTGAAGTGATGAGTGTGTCTCTTTTCCCAAGCTTGTTATGCCTGCCTCTGTTTAAACAGGACTTGGGCTTGTTTAGTCTCAGCATTGAACATGACAGCATACATAAGGATGTCAGCCGTGCCCAAATAACAGGAGCCGTCTCCTTTCTGATAGCAGAGACAGGGGTCAGAAAGGAGACTTCTGCTTCCAGCATCCTCCATGATGGTGGGGAAGCTGCCAAGCTCAAGGTTTCAAAAAAATTAGCTTAAATTAATACTGGGCAGGGAGGGACTGGTGTAGCCCTGGTCTAGATGCACAGCTGCAAGATGACTCGGCAGCACACTGCCAGTGCTGATGGTGAGGAGTCAGTTCTGTCACACATGCACACATCCTTTCAGCATAAGTATGTTTATTTAGGCATTTGTTTAAGTTTTTAAAAGCTCTGAGCCTTTGCCAGGGCTTCTGGGCTCCCAGCTTATTTCAAAATCAGTAGGACAATGGCTAAACATAGAGTTAGTTCCTGGTGTTGAAAAAATCCCTGTGTAATGACTCAGTGCTCCTGCACTGTAAATGAAGGAAGGTATGAATATTTACTTTCTTGAAAGAAATGTTGCATCATTAATACTGTACAGTTCTTCTTTATTAAATATTCTCATCTTTTCATATTTGGTGCTGCATAAAAGAGAATTGTGTATGTGAGAGCAGTGGCTTTTCCCAGGAGCAGCAGCTCAGAAGTTCCCTGGTTGGAAGTGTAATGCTAATGCGACGGTGCCTCACATCCCATTGCTCTGTTTCTTCCAGAAGCCTCAAAAGAGGCAATTATGATCCTTTGAAATGCTGGTAATGATGTTAGTGCTGCATAGGTTTGACTTGGTCTGTCAGACCAAGGAAAATATTCTGAACAGGGAATTCACGTGTCTCTTTTTAAACACAACTCAGTCAAGTGTGGAAATGCTCAGCTCTAAGGATAGTAAACGGAAGTGGTGTATAGCATTATGTTACATTTCTCAAGCCTGTCTGAAACTTTGGATACAAACCGCCATGGCTGTGGCTTTGCTTTATTACAATATTTGATTCCTGGACATAGTGATGTGCTCAATCTTACTGCAGTTTTTGATGGAAGTAGGATCTGTCCTGTAGCCTTTAGGTCTTTCATTTGACAGTTGTAGGATTTTCTGTCTTGTCACTTCCCCTTTTTTTTTCCTCTTAGGTGAACATTTTATCAGTAATTTTCCATGTTGTGAACTTAAGCTCTTGAATTTTTATCTTATTTATTTGTGTATTGCAGCTGGTGCTCAGGATAAAATTGGCTGGGCATTTGGCTTGGGTTTGGAGAGACTGGCCATGATCCTGTATGATATCCCTGACATCCGACTGTTCTGGAGTGAAGATGAACGCTTCTTGAAACAATTTATTGGGCCTCACATTTGGCAAAAAATAAAGTTCCAGGTAAAATAACAAATATATGATAATAATTTACTGTCAGTTAGAAGTATGTGTATCCCTCGAGAATATCACATAATTGAAATTCTGTGCCATTAACTGATTAGGTTTTAAAGCAACAGCTTTACAGCTATCACGATTCTCTGATATACTGCAATAAAATCCAGCCTTTGATGATAACATTTTTTTCAACCAGATAATGTTGTAAGTTCCTGCTGATACCCAGTGAACATCCCTGGTATGAGTAATGCTTAAGCACATATTTAACTTCTAAATATATACAGAATAGGGATTGATTAAGACCTATGTCTGATTTGGTTGTGTTCTTGAATTGCATCTCAAGAATTCTGTTTCATTATAAATATGTGTCTAATGAAGAGCATTCAAAGATCATAGCACATTCCCAGTTTTTTCCCATTGTTTTCACTCTACGTTCATTGAAGTCAATGTGAGTTTGCAATGTTAAACTTTGGCAAAATGCTTTGGAATGTGTCTCACCATTTTCAAGATGTCAGCTCTTTTCTCCAGGTGACTGGTGGGGAGAGTGCAGGCTGAGCTTGTGTTTGTTTTATAACTCCTCTACTGAGGTGATTTTGTAGTTAACAACCTCGTCTTACTTTTCTGTACTTACAAAGCAATCAGGCATTACTGGATTGAGTGGAATTGCTACTTGAATAATACTCTTCAGCATGAGCCTGGGAAGGTTCAAGTCAGGTGTCATCAGCTGGTCTTTGGGAGAGTTGAGCTGATGTAGCTTTGTAGATGCTTGGTGAAGTCTGAAGTGCTAAAGCAGCAAAATACTTTTTGCTGCTACCTTTTACCATTTTACTTGCTTTCTTTGTAAACAGCTTGATTATGTTCTTTTAAGAATTGAAAATATAAAAGGGGAAATCAGCAGTGTAGCACTTAGGCGATGTTTGACTAGTCTCCACATTGAATCAGTAGCAGCATCCTTTTTTTTAATTCATGGCAATTCCCACACATCTTCTCTGATATAGTCAAAATAGTGTTTGAGATAGGTTTGGTGGGTGGGTTTCGGTTTTTTTGGTTGCAGTTTTTTGGTTTGGGTAAGAGTTTGGGAATTTTTTTTGGTTAGTTGGTTTTGGTTGGGGTTTTTTTTATTTTCTTTGGTGATAGCTGGCATTAGGGTATTCAGCTTGTAGTTTATTATCATTTACAGAAAGAAGACAGTTTTTTGCCACTGTTCCTAAACGTAGATCTGCTTGTAGGTTTCCTTGACCTCTTACAGAATGTTTGTTCTTTTCAATAAGGAATGTTCAAATCTCCTTTTCAGCTCTTGTCTTTCTCACTGGCCTTGCTCCTAAGGTTGTGGCTTGATTTATGGATTGCAATCTGATCTCTGAGAGAGGGTTGTGTGTCTGATTTCTCTTAGTTGCATATAATCTTCATGTTCAGCTTCAGATAAGTCAGGTGTAGTGAGTCAATCTGAAGATGCCAGAGGCACAGCTTACTGTGGATAGGCTCAGAGAAAAGGACATGGTTTCTAGGAAGCTAAAAGGCAATTTTTTTTTTTTAATTGATGCTGTTTGGTAGCGTTAGCTGAGCAGGAGTCACCAGGAGCAGGTGGGTTTGTATAGTTTTTCTGGGTATCTATGTCACCGATAGAAGAGTGGTGACAAGGTCTTGGTGGGTCTTTGGGCATTTCTTGTTGCTGAAGTGTTGGTTTCAGCTGCCATTGGCTCAGCTTGGAAAAAGGAGAAAAGTTCTACAACCCAGAACTGATGTTGTAGGGACTCATGAAGTTGAGGCTTGCTGGCTGAAACACATTTTGAAGTAATAACATGAACCAGGAGGTATGGTGCAATAGGTGGGGGACTTCAAGGAGGAGAAATTTTCAGCTGCCAGTGTGCTCTAACTTGAACCAAAGGGAAAGACTAGAGTAATATTACCAGGCCATTACCTACTGCTTTATCACATTAGTGTGTTGGCAGCTGTTGTATCTCAAGAAATAGGACGGTGAAAAGTATACAGACTGGGAGAATGAGGGGTATGTGAGTGGAGCAGCAGAGGTGGAAAAATGGATTATTTTCAATATTTTCCTTCTCTCTTCTAAAGAAAAGGATATGACCAATGTTTTAGAAACAGATTTTTGCTCTGGTATCAACAACTTCTTATGGACTTTTTATTTTTAAAAAAATTTATTTTTTCTTTTATTTTTATTCTTTCCCCCCCCCTTTCCCTTTTAATACATGCACACACCTGACTTGGATGTTTCATTTTCAGTTTTGGTAGAGTAATTCTCCCCAATTCTTAGCATACATTTTTCAATGCTATATCTGAATATAAGAAACTAGAGGCAAGCTTGGGTTTTTGTTTAAAAGGAAGTCTGTGTCCGGCTTTCATCTGGTATCTTACTCTGAGCTTTTTCAAGCTCAATACTGTACATACCTCTGCTACATACTGGCATTGTTTTTAAAGGGTTAATGACCCTTCGAATGAAAATACAGTTAAATACTCCGTGGTGCTACTATAAGATCTCAAGTTTTTTCTTCTGCTCTATGTTATTTTTCAGGTATGCTGTAAAACCAAGTTAGCAGATCTTCTGCACCTGTCTACTTTCTAAAGAGTCATAATTAATTAATCACATAGTTTATTCATATCCTATTTGAAAGAAAACTTTTAGCCTGTCTACCAGTGTTGATGTTGTAAGAAATCTCAATGGATATTTTAAAAGTGTCAGATTTTCTGCATGCAAAGCCATGCAGTATTTTTCAGCCTCACTAAACTGAACAAAGACAGACCAGGTGCTTCAAGAGCCTTTCATGACACAAATTTAATCCTGTAGCCTCAGAAGGTCTGGATAAATGTCCATCCTTTATGTGCTTAACTAAGATAGACCTCTCAACCTTTGGGTACTGTCTCCATCCTTTCTTATAATATGAATATGATGCACCAACATAAATACTTTTCTTTCTGTTCACTAAAACATTCTTCAAATACATGAAGTAAAGCAGTAACCTTTAGCTGGGCTAAATATACTCTTGCTCAAAAACTGAATTTAATTGGAGTATTTTCTTGGGACTAAAAGTACATATTTTATGTCCTTTAACAGCCTGAATGTGTCAGGCTTTTCCCTGTGTCATCAGTTGCTCAGTATATGTGTGCAGGCTTCAGTAGGTCAAAAAGCTGCTGGGAAAAGCTGACAGTGCTTGTACCAATGTGGCCACTCAGCACAGCAGTGTTAGAGGGCTTCTCCCCACAGATCAGATTATTGCATGGATTTGGATTAGCAAATTGCTCTAGCTATAATTTGACACAAGTCACAGCAGTGTGGGGGATCGGAGGCTGGTAACTTGCCTTCAATCACTTGTGTAGGGCTTCTGCTCAGGCTGTGAAATGAAAGGCTGAGAATGGACAGGGCAGGAAGGACTAAGAACCTGCAAGGCATAATGTAATAAAACAAATGGCTTAGTTCCAATCTAGTACACTGTGCTACATCTGTGTTTGTCAGGGCTCTGAGCATTGTTCCATGTAATCACTTTCCGGTTCATCCTGAGCCAGCATTCTTACAAAAAATAGATGTGTCTGTGGGCTGACAACTCCCAAGAAAAGGTACAGAAATGAAATGCCATTTAGAGAAGGGAGGCACCCACAGTTCAGATGGAGTGTGGATTGCCCAGAGGTGTTGATTAAGATGAACGGTCTCTGGTGGCAGGATGGTTCCTGGAAACTCCATCATTTTGCTGCCATAGTAAGCAAGCAGCATGTCATGTCAATTGTGTTCTCTCCTCACAAAGTCACTTCCATTTGATGCTGGTGTCTGTGGCTGCTGTTGTTTTAAATAGTTACTTATTTCTATTGCAGATGAGCCTTGTGGTCTGGACTGAGGTCAAGCAGAGTCACATTTATGGCTGTTATGAGGGAAGCAGTGGTACAGAGGAAGTCTGGATCAGATTCCTAGCAAAACTACAGACTCCCCCTGTAAGATTATGAGTGTTGCTGTCTTCTTCTTTTCCTCATTTGTGTAATATCTGCAGTGAGCCTAGCACCACCTGCTTTTTACCCCGTCTCCCCCCTTCATCATCTTCAGGGGATGCTCCTTCCTTATATCTGCTGGCACATTTTGTCTCTCCAAACTCAGTTCCTTCATACTTAGAATAATAGACTTTCTAACCAGGATCATTCTAATGATGTCAGTTACTGAAGCTTCTGGAGCAGCTTTCCTGGGAGACCTGAGAGGCTAGTAATTTTTGGCAGTGGAGTGAGGAAAATTTACAAACAACTTGAATTGACACTGCTCACCTCCTGCACAGCTGCAGCCAGAATGGTGTATGTGGCCCTAATCTAGGAGAGTATCTCTGCTTTGAAAAGTGAACAGTCGAGGTTAGCAGAGATGAGAAAAATCAGACATCAGAAAGATGTAGTTGTGTGGAAAGAAGCGATTCATTATACCAGAAAGGAAGTCAAAGCAGGCTCCTCTTTCTCCTGTGCATAATAGCAAAGGCTGGGCAAGGGCCTTGCTCCTTGCTCAGTGTGCCGTAGGAATTAAACTCCTATTCTAATGACAAAGGATTTATCCAGTAGCCCAGTTTGCCCAATTTGCTGTATATGTGAGCCCTCTTATTCACACCGTTAGACAGTCCAACTTTTCTACCTTACTGTGCACTTTTCAGTTCTCTGAAACAGTCATCATCCCTGTGCATCTTTCCTGTGCACATGCCTGATTGTTGCTGGGAGACATAGAGCTTGTCCTGAAGTTTTAGAAGATGCTGAAAATAAAATGGACTGTCAGATCCAAGAGGAAACTTTTGCAAATTAAACCATCTTAGTGTATATCCTTTATTCCATGCTTGAGAAGGAGAGCATCTGATGTCTATGCCATCCATTTCAACCAGTTTGATCTTATTACATTCACTGCACAGGGTGGGTCTGTCTGATCCATCGTTAGTATGCTACTCCATATAATTTATATTTATCTCCTTATACTGTGATTAGTTTTATTTCCCAATAAAAAGTAAATAGATTCACTGGTTGCTACATTTTCA